GAATAAATGCCTGATCAATGTATCAGTTGAATGAACTGTCTGAAATATAAACATTAAACAAAATTTTGAAGCACTTTTTTGAGCAGTAGCAACAAAAATCCTGATTTTGAGGAAAAACCTTAAAATTTTGAGATTTTCCCTGTGAGCTAGCAAAGTTTTGTTTCTTTATAGCTGGGAAATCTCAATATTCAAATATAATTTGAGGTTTCCTCTTTAAAAGGACATCAAAATTCCTCAATAAAATTACATAAAATTAGGATTCAGACCAAATATTTCTGTATTATTTTAACCAACAAGACAAATTAAGTCATATATATGGATTTAATTATGATATCAGAATGATACAGGTGTCAAAATGTAGCTTTTTAAAGCCAAGAATCTGAAAATGTAATTAGGTCACTTTGACCAAATTTGACTTAATCCTCATTTCGATATGATGGCTCACATATATTATTATACTTTTGATATTATATGCATTATCATATTCAGACACTCATAACGCTCTTACCCTGTCATAAAGGGTGATGCAAGAACTCTGACTATAAATGACTTCTCTGATGGCTGCTGAACTGTTAAACATGATCATCTGTACTGCTTTCAAATCACTGAAACCCTTGCTGACACCGTCACCCCAGACTTTTGACTTATTTAAATAGCTAATATAGTACAGCTAAATCTGACTTTTTCTTTAATAATTCACTCTCTGGTTCACAACAGAGTGTCAAGGACTGATATCAGAGAATGAGGCTCTATATAAAAGCAGGCCACACCTTTGGTCACCCAGGCCAACATAAGAGCAGCTAATTGGTCTGGTACTAAATATTTAAAGGAGTCTTGACCTGATTGGCTGATTTAATTGTTTCAGTTGAATGATTTAGTAGTTCGTAAAGAGGGGCTATCCAGTCAGTCAATTTAAACTGTGACACTAAATGAAACTTCAACAGCCTAAAACAGTCTCTGTTGAAGTTACTGAGTGATTAATTAATCTATTATAGTAACAACCAAGAGTATAAAAAAACTACACTGAAATTACTGCTGAAATTTTAAACCAAGCACTAACTAATGAGGTTATGCTACTTCCATGCATTGTTTCATTCCCACAACTGACACAACCGATACTGACCACACAAATACCTTCAGAATGAAGGAATGGACCTGCTTTCACCTAAAGCTATAATCAAAAGGAGAAAACCGAAAAAGAAAAAAAATTGTCTTGATGCAGAGAAGCAAAGAGTGAACGCAGGGCAGGCCTGCTCAATCTCCATCATAGCAGCTCTCCTTTCATGAATGTCCTTGGAAGGGACACAAGCAAGAAAGGAAGAAGAAGACTGGAATAAAGAAAAACACAACAAACAAGTATAAAGAAAAATAAAAACACTGCAACATTAAAAAGTTACCAAAAAAAGGTGGTGCTTGTCATCGTAACAGTGCATAAATTCTTCTTTTCCCATATTTCTTACTTGTATGTGCAAGTTCAAAGATTTCACCATGTTGTTGCAACAACACAGGGAGAAGTATTTATCTGATTATGGCAGTAATAATTACCCAGCTGTTTGCTACAGATAGAGGAATAATTCAAGTAGTCAACAGGCCATGTTAGTAGCAGCGGCGATGACACCAGCACATTTAGTAAATATGCAAAGTGTGGTTGCTCTGCTTTCCTAGTTGGCCCCATCGTCCCGCCGCATGCCCTTATTAAAGCCTGGGAACTTAAAGTGTCACCCTGACAAAGTGATAAATTGTTAGGGTATCAAGGAAAACTGTGGCAGAGTGGGGACTGTGCTGGGGTCTTGACTTCATTAGGGTATGCAGAAGGAGAGGAAGGATGAATGAAGATGGACACAGAGGCACAGTGAACCTGTGGCAGCGAGAGGGAGGGAAAGATATAGAGTTAAATAGATTAAGATAGAGAGGAGGAAAGAGAGAGGCAAGATTTAAAGATTAAGGGATGGGGGGCGGGGGGTGAGGCAGCAGATAGAGGAGTACGATGTAAGTGGCAGGGATTAGTTGGATGATGTACCTAATGAAATGGCACAGATGGTTTTGTGCTAG